TATTGTATTTTTGTAAACGCATCGTGAGATGATTTGGTTAGAGGAGAAAAAGTCAAAAAAAAAAAAAAAGTCAAAAGAAACAATTACCGCTAGCGGTAGGGTTGAAAAGTTACAAAAAGATACAGAGCCAGATACTGGACGGTGTACCAGTAAAGATGTTGGGCCGCAAAAGGAGGTGGATTGGGAGAAGAGCGAAACATTCTTTTCAAGAGTTTGTATGTATAAGAGTTGGAATGGTATCAGAGATGTGCAAATAAGGAGGCCGAGCCCCAAAAGGTGGTGGACACAAGGCGATATGTCAACAACGACGCTAGAAAAGTGAATTGGGGGGTCTCACATCAATTGGAGAAATAAAGAGTGTCAGCGAGTATGCTAGACTTTGAAAATATACATTTTTTTTACAAAAGTATGAAAAAAAAATTGTAGCAAACGGGTTTCATCTTTTAAAAAAAAACTCAAATATAACAATATTTACGAACCGTGGACTTGAGTTTCTACATATTTTTCCTTAATCCATCAAATAAAATAAAATGTTGCATAAATATTAAAAAAATACAGGACATAATAATTTTTTAAGTTAACCATACCAAATAATCTCAATTCTGACCTGCCCTTGGCACTGCCCGGCCTATAAACTGCCCACTAATTGGAGTCCAAGTCAACAATTAAATGGAATGGAAAGCAAGGCTTTTGAAGACCATATTCAAACTTCATGAGCTTTATTTAGTAAAGTCGCGGTTTTTAAAATCTTTGATTGAAGACCACCACCAAAACAATAAACATTTAAAACCCAAAGTCTACCAGTTTAATAATTCAAATTAAACTATGGTTGTATTAATTTGAATGGTATCAATACAAGTCACTATCCCTTCAACATGATATATTATAAAAATAAATAATTAAACAAAGGTTAGTTGAGAATGAAGGTACATTTCACAAATGGTTAGTACAATTAACATATCTCCAACTTTATGAAATCAGCACACACTTGAATTCCAACCTCTGACCAAACTACCTTCCCCCATTTTTCTTTCCATTCTAACTTTTTTTTCTTTGACCAAACTACATATCTCAACTTTGTGAAAGAGTTTAATACGTGACAAAATTTAGGCAGTGCATAATAATAAAATAAAATTTATAAAATAAAATAATAATAATAATAATATGAGCTGTCTAAACTGTAGGACTATCTCATATCGAATTATTCGAAAATCATCTGCGAATAGTTTTTGATGACATCAACTATAAGTCATACTTACGTAATAACATTATTATAAATTGTAATTATTTATTATTATTATTATTTTTTGGTTGAAATAGTCCCTCCAATAAAAAAACAAACTCAACAAAATTATAATAATATTACTTATATCTTATCCATAATTTATGCACATGTTGTCAAACAAAAAAAATCAAATATTAAAATTCACTACAATTTGGTGGGAAAAATCATAAAGGAGCCACGTGGGAGGGGAACATGAGGTCGTTGAAATAGTTATTAAAAAAAATAATAATAAACAGGAAACTACAGAGTGTCGAGAATTAATTATGGGAGTGAATTAAAATAAATAAATAATATAATTATAATTAATTATCTTTTTATTTGTAAAAATAAATGTTGAATTTTGTCCGTTGAAATAAGGATGGGAGGAGCATTGATTCCTCCAGTGGCAACAAAGCCGAAGAAGGAAATATTTCTATCTAAGCAAGGGCAATTTCGTAATTACGTTAGTACGGTAAGGGTAGGCTTGATGAACCGCCATTTAAAAGGCCGACGGGACTCGGCGGGTTTGTTTAGTTGTCATTGCTTTCGCCACATGTTCTTATGACTTCGGTTTGCATAACTTGCACAACAAGCGTTTTGTGTTTGTGAGCCCTCTTCGATCAAGGTACATACACAATTGTTTTTCTTCTGTCTTGGAATTCTTCTGTTTTCAACCTTTTTTACTGTTTGCTGGGCGGCCGTCGGGAGATTCTGGCCGTCGCCATCACTTTCAGCTCGGAGTTTGTTTTATTTGTTTGATGAATATGGATAAATGTTTGGGGTTGGTGTTGATTTGTGAGTTTGACTTCTAATTTGGTGTACGGTGAGCTGTTTCTGATTAAGATCTTCTTCTTCTTATTCGTCTTTGGTGTCGAAAGTGGATGAACTCTTCTTCTTTTCCTCTTGGATTTGTAAATTTACTGCGTTCGTTGCGTTCTGGAGTTTATTGAAAACGCGTCATGTGTTTGCTTTCTTCCTTTTCCGAGTTTTTTTCTCATTTGTTCATCATTTTTTGATTTTATTAGAACGTGGTAGTTTCAAGGTACCACCAATTGATGAGTATTTTTAGCCTTTTTGAGTTCGTGAAACTGAAATCACGAAATCAATTTTTTGGTTTTCTTCTAATTTACAGAACCAGCTTAACAAGTTATTTTTGTTTCCATTCCCTTGTTTAGTTTTCGTTTGAGCTGTGGCAATTTCTTGGAGAATTAAGCGTATGTTTTTTTTGGTATGATCATTGTCTATTATGTGAAGAACTAGTTATTCGAGTGAAAAATCTTGCAACGATTATCCAAATATCTTTGTGATTGTTCGCTGTGTGGTAGTTGAAATGAAAGAGAGATTCTATCTTCTATCTGTTTTTAGTATTTCATTACTTTTCTCTAGTTTAGATCCTCTAATATATGCACCGAATTTTGTATTGTGGCTCAATTTGAAGAACTTGTTCTGAGAACTTGAGTTTTTTTACCCAGTATTTTGTATTCATGCATCTTTGATTGTGTAAGATGTAATTTGTTTTAAGCATCTTATCAATTTGAAACCTGCAGTATTGAGTTTTTATCTGTTCTCTGCAGATTTTGGGGATTCTGCGATTCGACGTCTTACCATAAAGAAAGCAATATGTTTTAACAACTGATCTTTAAAGGTTTCTTAGACCTAAAATATCTGACTAGAAGCTCATAAAAACTTATAATACCAACCGCTAGTGGCGAAGATCTTCCGGCCGTGGGCTCATTTCTTACTAGATGCAAGCAGCTCCGAATCGTCAGTCTTCATCTGTGATCCATGAGATGTATCACCAGTCTGTGCAAGGGATGGATTCTTTCTATTTATCTCATTTCCACGTCTTGGAAAACAATGCCTCTCCCGATGCAAGCAGTCAGGGAAACAGTGTTATTTCTTCTTCCTATAAGGATCAGTTCTTCACTCTCGAATCGTTCCCGGCTACTGCTTATCTGAGCGCCTGTAATTCCCCTTCTGCTGTTAGTGTTCTGTCTTCCAGGAGCCCCTTCTCACCTCAAGGGTCTCAAACTTGCTCTTCTGATCAACATCATTCCTTTGACAACACATGTGGATCGCCGCAAAGTGGATGCTCGGTAACTGATGATGATTATGAATTGAAGCACAAGCTGAAGGAATTAGAGATTTCTTTGTTGGGACCAGAAACTGATATTGTGGATAGCTGCTACTGTTCTTTCAGGGGTGGGGAGAACCGAGATGCTTCAATGGCAAGGTGGAACTGGAATCAAATGATCGAAACAATTCCTAAACTAAGTCTTCGGGACACACTTATCCGGTGTGCTCAAGCAATTCATGAGGCTGATTTAAATGCGGCGACATCATTTATGGATGTTTTGGGGCAAATGGTTTCGGTCTCTGGTGATCCAGCCCAGAGGTTGGGAGCTTACTTGTTGGAAGGGCTTAGAGCGAGGTTGGAGCGATCTGGAAGTGCAATATACAAGGCCCTAAAGTGCGAAGAGCCGTCAAGCTCTGAACTTATGTCCTATATGTCTATTCTATTCCAGATATGCCCATACTTCAAATTTGCTTACACATCTGCAAATGCTTTCATTTGGGAGGCTATGGTAAATGAACCCGTGATCCACATCATTGATTTTCAAATTGCACAGGGTAGTCAGTATATACCTCTCATTGAGGATCTTGCCAATCGGCCTGGTGGACCCCCAGTTCTTCTTCACATTACGGGTGTGGATGATTCCCAATCAGCTCATGCTCGAGGAGGGGGACTTCAAATTGTGGGACAGAAGCTAGCTCAACTGGCTCAGTCTAAAGGAATTCCCTTCCAATTTCATGCTGCTGCAATGTCTGGTTGCAAGGTCGAGCGCAGTGATCTTAGAATACGACCTGGAGAAGCCTTGGCTGTAAATTTTCCATATGCCTTGCACCACATGCCAGATGAGAGCGTGAGCACACAGAACCATCGAGATCGTCTTCTAAGGCTGGTTAAGAGTCTATCACCAAAGATAGTAACTATTGTTGAGCAGGAATCCAACACCAACACATCCCCGTTCTTTTTACGTTTTATAGAGACGCTGGACTATTATACTGCTATGTTCGAGTCAATAGACGTAGCTCGTTCGAGAGACGACAAGCAACGAATCAGGGCAGAGCAGCACTGTGTTGCCCGAGACATAGTGAACATGGTAGCATGTGAGGGATTTGAAAGAGTAGAACGTCATGAACTCCATGGGAAGTGGATGATGAGAATGAAAATGGCTGGCTTTACTCAATATCCAATGAGCTCCTCTGTAACTGGAGCCGTCAAGAATTTGTTGAGGGACTACAACGAGAACTACAGACTCCTAGAAGCGGAAGGAGCTCTCAACCTTGGCTGGAAAAACAGAGCAATGGCAACCTCCTCTGCATGGAGATGATATCCTGAAACTGTGAATCCAATTGCTTATTAGATAGATGCTGGAAAATACCTCTCTCGAGCATTGAGCGATGATGACCCCTTTAGATTTATAGAGAATGTGAGGTCGTCAACGCTCTTACTGTTTGTAGAACAGAGAGACAGGAACCCAAATCTTCAAACTTGCTGTAAATTTTCTAACGTTGGTGAAAGAATTTTGTCCTCGAGTCTTACCTGCTTTGTCGTTTGGAAACTCGCATTATAATTATCTGCTTAGATTAATAATTCAAAGCAAGCCGAAATAAATAGATATATATATATATAAAGAAATAATTAGAACCATTTTCTTTTAATGTAGCCCAAGCAAGCGCTACTTTACTTTGCACCCGGGCGTTACCGTGCCGCCGCCAATGGCTATTATTTGCAAATTGCATATTTCGTCTCTCAGCCGCCACAGCTTCTCTTCTTCGTATCGCCGTCTTCCCTTCGAATGTCCCATCTGAAACCTCCTTTGTTCTGTTTCATCGAAATGCTGGAATGCGCCTCTGTGGTCGGCCTTCTTCTTCCGGCGTCATTCATCTGTTCACCAAGTCGATTGTAGCCGGCGCAACCGCGACCATTCGTCGTCGGCATAAATCTGAATACGCCAACGACAGGTTTTCAGCTTTCCTTATTCATTTCCTCTTAATTCTTTCTTATAGTTGCCTGTTATGTATAATTTTATATACTGCCCTAAGAATTCTTCTGCTCGACGCTTAAAGTATCTCCTGCTTGATCAAATTTAATCGCGAACCTTCTTTTCATTTTTAGGGTTTTGGGTTTTAGGGTTTTAATCTATCCTTAGAACTTTCCAGGTTTCAGGTGAAGCCACATCAGAAAGATTCCTCCTCCTGGGATAGAACCTTTAGGAGCCTATGTATAACGGGGAGATTGACCGAAGCGGTTGCACTTCTGTGCTGTATGCCCTTCCAATTTCACTCCAAAACTTACTGCCTTCTGTTACAAGAATGCATTTTCAGGAAAGAGTACATGAAAGGAAAGAGAATCCATGCTCAAATGGTTGTTGTTGGACATTTACCCAATGAGTATCTCAAAACCAAACTGCTGATATTATATGCCAAATTAGGTGACTTAGAAACTGCAAATATTCTTCATGAGAAATTGCTGGAGAACAGTCTGGTTTCATGGAATGCATTGATTGCTGGATATGTACAAAAAGGGTTTGGAGAAGTTGGATTGGAGCTTTACTTTAAAATGAGACGAACTGGTTTAATACCTGATCAATATACCTTTGCATCAGTTTTCAGAGCCTGTGCTAGCTTAGCTTCTTTGGAACATGGAAAGAGAGCTCATGGAGTTCTGATTAAGTGTCGAATCGGCGACAATGTTGTCGTGTCTAGTGCCCTTGTTGATATGTACTTCAAATGCAGTAGCATATTAGATGGTCATAAGGTATTTAACAAATCTACAACTAGAAATGTGATTACATGGACTGCTTTAATATCAGGGTATGGCCACCATGGAAGAGTTTCTGAAGTTTTGGAATCCTTCAATAGGATGATAAATGAAGGTTACCGACCGAATTACGTTACATTCCTTGCGGTTCTTACTGCTTGTGGTCATGGGGGTTTTGTTTCGGAAGCATGGCGATACTTATCGTTAATGAAGACGACGTATGAAATAGAACCAAGAGGGCAACATTATGCTGCCATGGCAGATCTTCTCGCGCGGGCTGGGAGGTTGCAAGAGGCATATGATTTTGTTGTCGATGCACCTTGCAAGGAGCACGCTGTTATATGGGGTGCTTTGGTCGGGGGTTGTAAGGTTCACGAAGACATAGATTTGATGAAACATGCAGCAGCAAATTACTTGGCATTGGATGCTGGCAACGCTGGGAAGTATGTGGTTTTAGCAAATGGGTTTGCGGCGTCTGGCTTGTGGGATAATGTTGCGGAGATTAGAGGTATGATGAAGAAATCAGGAATGAATAAGGAACCTGGTTACAGCAGAATTGAGATTCAAAGGGAGTTTCACTTCTTTGTTAAAAGTGATAAATCTCACAAACAAGCCGAGGAGATTTATAGAACCATTCACAGCATCACTGCGATTTTAAAGGATGCAGGCTCTATTCGTGAACTAAGTGAAAACTCATTGTAGGGAGTTAGTTATATTGAATCTTTTGGCATAGCCCCAAGTATAGGACATTCATATGATCTGATAATCCATCCAGTTCAAACTATCTGATCTAAGTTACAAATGTTACATTGGGTTAGATTTTGTTCTTCGATTTTTTGTTTGGTGTGACACATTCTTCTTGAATTAAACATACTATCTATATCTAAAATTTCAATATAGGCTCATTCTGTCGCTAAAAGGAGTTGGTAAGATACCTTTAGGATGTCATTGGTAGTACTACAAAACTTGTATGCTAATCAGTAACAGCTCTTAGGAATTTCTTTTAGGAAAGGAACAGAGTTTTGTGGCTTGAACAATGATTTTTCTCTCTTAATATGGATTAAATTCAATAATTGTTCATTGAGTTGACATGTTTCAACAATTGACAATGATCATCTGAAGACAAAAAAAGCCTGCCTTTCTGCAAGTAAATGAACTTGGATGAAGATAAGAAGCAAATAAGAGTAAATTTGAATTTGATTATCTGTTCTGAGAGATATACATCAGGTAAAGCCTGGTAATTATGATAAGAAACATGCTTTGAGGAAGAAGGATTAAAGATGCCCAGATCGCAACCATATCCCAAAAACATGTCATGACGATGAAGAACAAAACTTGTCCATTCTTCCAAGAGATTTATAATCTGCAAAAGAAAATGAAAACAAAGAACTCCCAGAAACATTTAACAGAAAAGCGAAAATTTCATAGCCAAATTGGATGCCTCGGAATAGCGGATTAACAGCAAGGCTTAGAAAAAGCCGTTCAGTCCCGAAAGATGGTATTTTGTTAAGCGATATCGTCATTGGCATTGGCAATTGGGCATGAAGAATTTAAAGAAAAACCTAAGAATGTTGGTCTCATGGCCAGTCCCAAATGGTAAAGGCAGCAACGCTGCTCCACAAGGCAATGGAATATGATGCCACCAGTCGACGGAAGCTCCAAAGAGGAGCCATCAACGTCAACTGAAATTCCTTTGTGACGTTAACTTTGGCACTATACAAACATCAACAAGTTCGCTCCAAATCAAGTAAGGGATTGGATCTTAAATCCCCCGCCACACACAATCAGTTAAACAACGCCATAAATCAAAATCGAAACAGAAATTCCAGTAACGAAAAAAATAATTGAATGTCTCAAGGCCAATCCAGACAGTAACGGCAATGACGATGGAATATGAAACCATCCATTACGGAGGATTTCCTTGAAAAGGAAAGCCAGTCTGCTTCCTCCGAGTAAAAATCTTCCTCGAAGTAGTTCCCCATCGCATTAAAACACATACAAACACAAACTTTCAAAGAAAAAAATAAGAATCATCCAAACCAAACAACATAAACAAAGCACATATATCAGAAAGGAGCATCTGAGAAGAAACTAACAAAGTATTCTTATGAACAGAGAGAATTTTAATCAGAGCTCGCAAGAGGACCAGGGCGGAACTATGAATGTTCTTGAGAGAAAGCGCGGTCTATGGTGAGAATATAAAGAAGACGCTGAAAATTGTAAACCGTTGGATTTTTACACAAACAAATCTCGGCCCTTAGATTTAGAATTGTCTAGGGCTACGCAGTTTCAAAGTGCAGGGGTATAATCGTCCATCCGAGTTAAAACATTTTAGGCTTTTACCTTTTCCGACCATTTTCTCCTCATTCATCATAATCCAGAAAATCTAGAATAATTAAAATAAGGAAAATGCAAATTAGGAATTGGAATATAAATTAAATATAAACAAATAACAAATAACAGAATTAAACCAGAAAAAAAAAAAGAAAAAGAAAAAAAGCAGAAGAGTGGGAAATATGTGTCGGAATAACCAGAAATTGGCGGGTGGAAGGAAGTTTATGAAGATGGGTTGGTGTGGGCGACATCCATTGTCGTCTCCGACGAATAAGGGAAGTTTGAAATGCAGGCAGTTCAAAACACGAACTTCCGACCATGAATTTATATATTCTATCTTGAGTGATTTTAAAATAGAAAACAGACTCATCTAAAGCGATTAGCCTCACGTAACCACTTCCATCGCTATTATTAGCTTCCTATTTATATATATGTTCTTATTACCTCTGCTTTCCAAGAACACCCACTTCTACTCTCAGCTTCTTCTGCTGTGTTTAACCCCAAATTGACACGAATTATTGGTATGATTCATTTTCTTTGTCTCTCTTCTTGCTGCCTAACTTATCTTATTGGATTGGATAGCTCTGACTGTGTTTCCATATTGAGGTATAACCAAGTTCATACGAATCTTGTTGAGTGAATCGATAAAATCATGGGACAGAGTGGATCAGAAAACGCCCATGCATTTAATTGTAAGCTGCTGAAATAGAATGTACAATCAGAGAGTGATATGACTTTTTATGGATTTTATGGTCTATAAGAACACAATTGGTTGAAAATTAGATGATATTGATTTGATTTTCGTTTGTTTGTTTAATGGCTGTAAAGAACTCGATTTATTCCCGTGCAGGCTGTTTTTGAAAATATTAAGGTTCCCCCATCTGTTATTACGAACGTCTGGAGTCAGTAGGAACTCTTGAAGGGATCGAGTCAAAATGGTGGAAGGAGGTGCTGCAAAGGCAGACAAGGCAGAGTGTTTAGAATGTTGGCAAACAACATGGAAGACACCTTACATTATGCGCCTTGCTCTGTCTGCTGGGATCGGTGGTCTCCTTTTCGGATACGATACCGGTAATTCCCGACCTTGACATGGTGTGGTTCGATGATGACAAGTACAATGATGTTATTTACCACTTGATTGCAATGCATCGCAGGTGTGATCTCTGGGGCTATGCTTTACATCAGAGAGGACTTTGAAGTTGTTGATAGGAAAACATGGCTACAGGCAAGTTATCTGCTGGTTTTATGTCTCTTGCTGGTTTTATGTCTCTTTTAGGTAGTAATGTGAGACCCACCTCTATTGGAGAGGAGAACGAAACATTTCTTGTAAGAGTGTGAAAACCTCTCCCTAACAGATAGTTTTAAAACGTGAAGTTAACGGCAATATGTAATGGGCCAAAGTGAACAATAGTTGTTACTGAGTATTTATTTTCACCCTTTGGTTATGCACAGGAAACCATTGTAAGTATGGCTGTAGCAGGTGCTATCGTGGGTGCTGCAATAGGTGGCTGGATGAATGATAAATTTGGACGAAAAAAGGCGATTTTAGTCGCCGATGTAGTGTTCTTCATTGGTGCAGTTGTCATGGCTGTCGCTCCTTTTCCCGGATTCATTATCGTCGGGAGACTTATAGTTGGGTTCGGGGTCGGAATGGCGTCGATGACAGCTCCTCTTTACATATCAGAAGCTTCCCCTGCTAGAATTAGGGGTGCTCTTGTTAGCACTAATGGCTTGCTAATTACAGGAGGGCAATTCCTTTCCTATTTAATCAACCTGGCCTTCACTAAGGTAAAATGGATCTTCTTTTTTTGAATTTTGTGTTCTAAGTTCAAACTCGAGTTCTTATGAATCTGTGTTGCAGACCAAGTTAACATGGCGTCTGATGCTTGGAGTAGCAGGAGTGCCACCTCTGGTTCAGTTTGTTTTGATGTTATCGCTGCCCGAGTCTCCTAGGTGGCTCTACCGACGGGTTAACTTTTTAAATTGCTACCATTTTTTTCCTCAAACAAGAGTAGCAGTAGACTGATCAACTTACTGATACGCATTTATGGCGATGACAGGATAAAGTAGATGAAGCAAGAGCCATTCTGGAGAAAATCTATCCTGCCGATCAAGTTGAGGATGAGATGAGACTGTTGCATGAATCTGTGGAGACTGAAAAGGCAGAAGAAGGAGCTATTGGAGATGGCAGTATCATAGCCAAAGTGAAAGGTGCTTTGAGCAATCAAATCGTCCGAAGAGGGCTCTACGCCGGGATCATGGTGCAAGTAGCTCAGCAGTTCTGTGGTATCAACACTGTCATGTACTACAGCCCAACCATCATCCAGTTTGCTGGATATGCTTCCAATACGACAGCCATGGCGCTTTCTCTCGTTACTTCCTTTCTCAACGCTGCTGGCTCCGTTGTTAGCATGGTATCGGTTGACAGATATGGTAGAAGACGTCTTATGCTCATCTCGATGATAGGGATTATCACCTGCCTAGTGGTGTTGGCTGGAGTGTTCTTCCAATCTGCTCATCACGCTCCGCCCGTCGACGCCTTGGAATCTTCTCACTTTGGAAGCAACTCCACTTGTTCAGCTTATGCCTCAGCTCCAGATGCATCTTCATGGAATTGCATGGCATGTTTGAAGCAACAATGTGGCTTCTGTGCCAATGGAGATAGTGAGGTGAAGCATGCTTCTTAATTGCTTTAAATTCTTCATACCAATGACAGTAACAAATTAACAGACACTCATAACCATATGTTGAATGAATTATCAGTATCTTCCTGGAGCATGCTTGGATTTGACAAAGGATGTGAGGAGCTCATGTCGGTCGAAGCACCGAGTATGGTTCACGGAAGGCTGCCCGAGCAAAATAGGGTTCTTGGCTGTGGTGGTGATGGGGCTTTACATCATTTCATACGCACCTGGAATGGGAACAGTTCCCTGGGTGTTGAACTCTGAAATTTACCCACTCAGATACAGAGGAACCGGAGGAGGAATCGCTGCAGTTTCAAACTGGATTTCGAATCTGATTGTGAGTCAGACATTTTTGACATTGGTGGAAGCTCTTGGGGCCGCTGGTACATTCCTGCTGTTCGCAGGATTCTCATTTCTTGGACTCATTGGTATCTATTTCTTGGTACCTGAAACTAAAGGGCTGCAATTCGAAGAGGTTGAAGAGCTCCTCAGGCAAGGGAAGAATTATAAGAGCAGCAGAGGCCAGAGGGAAGTTTCGGAACAATAATCCTCCAGAATTGACGCGAACTTTGATTTATAACTAACTTAATGTTTCTTTTGGTGTTCCTTGTGAGAAACTTTTAATAAGTTGGAATAAATTATGGTTTGTGTGTGTTCTTGTTACTGGTTTTTGGTTGAATTTGTGTTTATAAAGACTCTGATGCTCACATCTGAGATTAAGCCCAACAAAAACTAATTAACAACTGATTAATAAAGCATTAAACTAGGCTAATTATCTAACATTTTGTCCTACAACAGTTCATAGACATCCCAAACTCCAGCTTCACCCCGAAAAACAACCGAGGTTCATTATTGTTTTACCCTGGATGAAAGAGTTTGGAAGGGTACCCTTCAGCTGAAGGACACCGACACTCGGGTCATGTAGAAAAAACATATCTGCTGCTCTGCCCGCTAATAATTCACTCCTAAACGACAAGAGGCAGTAAGAGACTTAAACCCTACAAAATATTTTTAAATCTATGGTGGGGCATATCCCACAGAGCACAGCTTGTGGCCTTCAACAGAGATGATGGGTTTATGTTCATGAAAATTCAACGCCCTGACAGTTTACCCATCTCATCGATTTCTTTAATCATCTTGAATGCACACATCATTTTCCTTCCCTCCGCCTAATTTCTCAAAACTTCTCTACTACTTTTGACATACACAAGGCAGATTTTTCTTCTCTTGTTTTTATCCATTATGTCATATGAACTTCCCAAGCTTTTCAGACCACTGAACACAGCGAAGTTTCAAGCAATCCATGAGAAGGAGAAGCAGAGATATTAACTTGTGTTCAATATACAACACAGTGAAGAAGAATGCAAAAATTTGTGCAATTCCCAGCTTAAATATGTAAAACAAGAAGATGAGTTCCACAGAATTTGGGTTCACCCATACAAGACAAGACACACGCAACCCAATCAGAATTTCATCAAATCCCCAAACCCAGAAAACCAAACCAAGTGATATTCCACTATTAGCAAAATGGAAAGTCATTATAAGGATAGGATATCCCAGAACCTAGTTAACAATCATACATCTTCTTCTCTAACCGTCAGTTTTTGGCTTTACTAACTGAACTACTAACACTACTTCCTTCTACAATCACAATTCCTCCAACATTCTCTCTCAACCACGCTGTACAAAAACAAAAACCACTCCCTATATACAGCAACCACGAAACCACTACTTAATAATACAATTACCTTCTAAGAAAAACCCACCTAAGGCCTTCCGTTTTTAAGGACTTGATGAGGATGCTTCATGTCTTGGTTCTCTCAAGTATCCCAGAAGCGTTTCCGCCTGCAAAAGTGAGTAAATTTCATCAACAAGTTGTTCATTTCATAGAATCAGTTAAAGAGTTCGTGAAATGATTGGAGACTCTTGACTGATCGGTTCAGGGTAATCACCTTGTGCTTTGCTCGAACGCTTCCAGTCTGAGAAAGTGCGACCAGAGGTGGAATTCCACCTTCCCTTACGAGCAACCCTCTATTTCTCACACTCTCAACACACAATTGCAAGAGTGTTAATACCGCGAACTCTTTTCCTTTCACTGACCCATCTTCAATTGCTTCCACAAGCGCAGCAATTCCACCCTCTTCCACAATAGCATCCTTCCCCTCTTGAATCCCAGCCAGGCTACTCAGAACCACCATCGCTTTCTCTGCCAAACCCGTCCCTTGCTCTGCTACCAGCGCCACCAATGGCTTCACAGCTCCGGCGGTAACAGTCCGCTCCTTGTTCGGCTTGATTGAGCAAAGCTTGTAGAGCGTCGTGAGCGCGTCCTTTTTCCCTCTATTCGATCCATTCAATAGTAAAGATACCAGTGGTGGGATGGCCCCGCAAACCCCAATCGAAGTTTTGTTCTCCTCCAACAGAGCGAGGCTCATCAGAGCACATGCCGCATTCTGTTTCGAAGTTTCGGTGCCGGTTTTGAGCACATAAACCAGTGACTTAATGGCTCCAGCGTTCGTGATGATAACCTTGTTAGACTCATGGAGTGAGAGATTCAGCAGGGCGGTTACAGCGTGTTCTTGTGTCCATGGATCGGTAGATCGAAGTAGAGGAATTAAAGCAGGAACGGCGCCGGACTCCCCAATGAGTACCCGATTATCGGACCGGTTCTTCGCCAGAAGCCTCAGCTTAGCCGCCGCAGATCGCTTCACAGCAACTGATGATGACTGAAGCCCATCGATGCAGATCTTGACAGTCGGCTGCAGATCTTCGGGCGAAATACTCTCAATAATCTCAGTGGAGAAATTCTCCCTCTGCAGAAACCCTAAGCATGGCTCAGGCTCGGTCTCAGCATCTCCACCTTCTCTTTTAGAAACAACCGCCATGGACGGTAAGCTCGCAAGTCTCTGCAACTCACCCGAAATATCACTGCTACAAGCAGAGAAATCACTGAAAGCATGAGAAAGTTCGAGAAAATCCTCTTCCTGTTCAGACGATTGGCTAGCCCACTTAGGGCTGCGCGATGCCAACTCGCCAAGCCTGATGTCGATGACAGAATCAGTGAGATTCTCAGAGATGCAGCCTGATTTCCCGGCCACCGACCCATTAAACGTACAACTATTATCATCTTGAAAGAAATTGGAACGAATAGTTCGCATAGAACGGCCAATGTTCCTACTAATTTTACTGGAAGTTGTAGAAGTCGGACTGTAACAATTCCTCCCCAAAGGAAACCGATTAGAACTCGAATGAGAATCCTCAATCGACACCATTTCCAAAAGCGGAAAGAAAAATCTCTGTTCAAAAACCCCCAAAATTAAACTTACAGCGAAAATTCCAGTCTGTTTCTCAGGAAAATTTCATGGCCGGAAAAGTAGAGAGAGAGAAAGGAATCTGATGGCGGAACGGAACAGGTATTTTTGCTTTCTGTGTGTGTTGTTGTTGTCGTCGTTGAGCGCCTTTACTCCAGCTTTGGCATCTGGGTTTCGATAGAGCTACAAGGCCTTGTATGGTTCTAATCGTCACAGCCCATTTTAATAACTGAAACTTGGGGCCCGGCTTATCTGATCAAACTCATCTCGGCCATCCATTTGTGCAGGGTCGAGGGTTTGATGTGACAACGGTCACAGCTCCGTGGCGCCTGCTTTCGTCTTTGGCTTAGACAGCTCTCTTGTGGGGTATGGATTCCCTCGGTGGGACCGTCGGCAAGTCAGCATCGTTTCAGCTCCCAAATTACAAATATGCCCTTCCTAATATTAGTTTGCTTAAATTATTAGTTTTAAGTCCGTGGCTTTTATGTCATTCCATTTAACAAAATATTTAACTACCCAATTTTGTGTTCAACGTATTCTTCCTTCCACATTCAATTTTATCAACAATATATATATATATATATATATATATATATATATATATCTCATTCATGGATTTAATAAATATAAAATTAATATTTTATGATTAGTTTATATACATTGAAACTTATAATTCATTTGAATTCTGTAAATTATTTAAAAAACGAAAAATCTAGATGAAAATATAACTTATAAATAATAAAAATATAAATAAATAATGGATATGTAGAATTGAAATTATATATTCATAATTTCAAATAGACGCGTAGGAATTTAAAATAAAATTTGCGTGATATATTTGTTATCCTTTGTACAATTTATTTATTATTATTATTATTTATGACCTGCGAGAGAGCTACGGCTACGGTGAGGGTGCGGGATCCACACAGTATGTGTGTGGGTATTACGTGGCAGAATCGCGTATGGGGCCTCACGACAATTGTCAGCATACAGCTGTAACTTTAGTGGTGAAAATAACACGTGTTGGCACAACATTACGCCGTACCGGATCCACGCCCACGCTTCGTTTGTGTACTCTTCAATTTTTATTTTTATTTTTTTAACAGGCTCACGTGCCATGGAGTGGCTGTGCACACGTGCCTGGCGGCGGAAGGAATTTTCCAAAGTCAATACTACGATTTCAATGGATGAGGAGGCAGCCGTGGTCCTCAAATTGCTCGCTCACCACCGGCATTAATATCGGCAAATAAAAATTCCAAAAAATTAAATAAATAAATCAAATTTTAACCACTTATTACGTGAGAAAAGGGGAGTTGTTGCAAATCATTAAATACATATTTTTATTTAGAAAATATTTTAAAATAGAAAATAGATGGTTAAATGAGGAGGGCCGGTTTCCCAACAAAGGGCAGGCATGATGTATCCTCCATTAAATTAATTCCCATTTACGCTAAAAATAAATAAAATCAATAAAAATCCTTTTTTTTTTTTAAATAAAGATCTCCCAGGCATTAATATTAACTATAGAGGTTAGGTGGAAGATTGTTTGCCCAAAAAAGGTACACACAAAAAAAATTAATATATTAATTTTCATGACGTTAAGAGAAAAAAATAAAAATAAATATAAAATGGTTGGTGATATTGATTTCTTAGGCCGCACACTTCCAAGGTGATGATACAATCAATGGGGCATTAAATATAAATTGTGTCCGTTTCAGATTAAGTGCCGAAAACAATAGTTATTATAAAATTAAGTAGTTTTAATTTGATTTATGGTAATGGCCCAACATGCTTAGCTGTCAATCACCCTAATTGCACTTTGATTAGACACTCTTGTAATTAATAAACATTTAAATTATTAGATTATAATTTCGTTTGCGCCTATTTTTGGATTCTATACGTCGTATCAGATTTTTCGACCTTTATTTATCAATACTTTTTAAATTTGAATTATAATACCCAAGAACGTAGGTTTATCCTTATCTTATCCATTACGATAACAATTAAAAAGTATATATGCGTTAGATTTTGATTTCAAAAAAAGGTAAACATTTAAATGACTGTAAGGTTTGGTAGGGAAAGGAGGATTAATATAATTAAATGTGTGGCTCCAGAAGTCTTGGGTTTGTTCAATGCCACTTAGGAACTTTAGCTCAATTTTTTTTGGTTCTGGATCTTTCAATGCTTCTAGAAACCATTTGATGGGTCTGGTAAATTTTGAAAACTGTAATTTTTTTTTAAATATATGTTTATATAAATAATTAATAGATTTATATAAATGTTTTTTTTTATTAACGGAGATCATAAAAATACGAACACGAGCAATGATGTTTTGTTTTTATTTTTTACTAAAAGAATATAGATAAAAAAGACAAAGAAAGAAAAAGGCAATTTCAAAAAGTGGATCTCTTTTAAAATAAAATAAATCAAAAGACAAGACATGAAAACAAACTTAGTCCAATTAAACTTTTTTTTTTTTTTAATTTCTTTAAATATAAAATAAAAAGATAATGGCACTTGAAAGATCAACACTAGGATTAAGGTAGTAAACCACAATCACAACCACAAATTAAATATATATATATATATATATATATATATTTATTATTATTATTTTTTTTAATGGTAAAGTAGTCGGTGATTCAGGTGGGTAAGTAAGAAATGTTTGGTGCATTTAAAAAGATGGAATAAATAATGTTTGGCTCTGATTTTTTCTTATTATTCTTTAACCTAATTATTTTTATTTTCCCAAAAAATAAAATCATATTTTTCTCATTTAATATTGAGTTGTTCAACCTCCTTCCTTCCACCATTTAATTCTCCTCCTAAAGTCAACCTCACTTTCCCCCATTTAATATTCACACTTCTCCCTATACTTCAATTCAACATTTAATTTTCATTATTCCCACTATTTTTTAATTTAATTAATTTTTCCAGTCATTAATACCGAAATATTATTTGGGTGCATCTCCAATTTGCCAAGAATGAAACGGGGTGGTCTCCTTGGGCTTGGATTACTGTAGGCCCATTTATCAAAGCCCATTGGGCTTCTGTTCTCACCAGCCCAATTCACGATTTTCACACGAATGTACCTTGCATACAATACGAATGTACCTTGCATACGATACTTTCAAACGTTATTTGAGATATACTCAAAATGACATGATTTTGTATGAGAAACGGACTAGGAACTCAACCTTGTACGATGAGAAATGCTGCCAGAATGAAACAAAACAAGATATTCAAATTTAGTCGTTTTGTTCGACGTGTTTGGTTTTGTGGAATTTGAATAAATTACAAAAGGTGGAGTGTTGTTGGATTGGATGATAGCTTTTAAGTATAAGGTGAAAAAGTAGGCAAATTGTGCGATGGAATGTGAATGTACGCAATATGAAGAGAAATCGAAAGAGATTCTTTTTTCAAATTTGAGATAGAAAATTATTTAATCGGCTTCAATTTGTTGGCCATGAATCATATGCTATAATGTATTATCGCTCGGTTTGAATTTTGAGACATTCCAAACATGAGAATGTCATTTTAAATTTGTAAGTGGTTACTTTATTGAAAATTCTAAAGAAAAAAAAAATTGATATAATTAAGATAAAAATAAAAAAGATATAAAAATGAGAATAATTTGTGATATACTTAATTAGAAATTGGAAAGGTATTAATATTAATGAAAAAAAAAAAGTTTAAAAGAGGGAAAATTGGTAAATAATGGGGGAGACACGGTAAAATTGAATTGTTTTTAAAAAAAAAGAGAATAAAAGAATGGACGGTGGAGATTAGTCGTAGTGGCGTAGGACTTGACTGATTTATTCTCGGTTTCAATAAAAACTAAACGATTTAGGAGGAAATTTCAAATCCGGAAGTTTGTTTTGTAGGGAGACTTTAAAGGATGACGTGGAGAGATCAGGGCCATACAGCTACTAAAACTATTTACGTTACAGTAAAGTTTATTGATTATCGCTTATGAATTGGGAAGTTTAGAAATATAATTTGCATAAAATTTGGGAGTGACGCCTCTGACGTGAACCACTCCAATTTTCTTCCTCGTTTGTTTCTTCACTTTCTCTCCGATCTTCTCCCATCGCCGCTTGCGCCCCCACGCCGACCTTCTCTTCTCCACCGCCGAATCATTCTACGTGCTCTTGTTTTTGACCTTGGGCCTTTGGTTTTACATGGTGGTCTGGTGGCTGCCCACCTTCAATGTCTATCGCCGAATTTCCTACCAACGTCGATCACGTCCACATCAATAGCAGCAGCCCCAACGCCGCCGATCACTATCAGCTTAATCGCAACCATTCCCAGGGTCATCGTCATCCTTGCGTCTCATCCAAGCGCAAGTTAGATGAATATGCTCCCAATTTCGACGATGATGACGAGGACGAGGACGAGGACGTTCACTTGTTTAACTTAGTTTCTGTCAGAATGAAGAGGGGTGAGACGTGTGTGATCGACTGCTCTTCTGACGGCCGGCTCGGTGAAGGGACTAGCACCGACTGTGAGCAACGGGATTTTGATGCCCTTTCGACCTCTTTGGCGGCAGAAACCTCGCCAGAGCCCACTCCCTCTTCGTACGAGTTGCAATTTTTTGTTAGAACGATCTCCGCTGGGAATACTATGGTAATGCTTGCAAATATTAACGATACTGTGATGTCGCTTCATGAACGCATTCAAGCTATTACGCGTATACCAATTTTCGAGCAGAGATTGATATATAGGGGAAGGCAACTCCGGCACGAACAGACACTCCTCGATTGTTCGATACAGAACAATGCGGAGTTGCAATTGGTTGGTCGCATGAGAAGCACGGAGCATCCGAAGGCTTGGCAGATTGTTGACGATATGGTTTCGTTGATTCTACGACTTTATAGGGGCGAAACTGTGTTTTCTGCTTTGGAAATTATCACTACCTCGATGACTGATTTCTTAAGTTTGGCTACGGCAACGGACTTAGATCAGACAATTAAGCAACTCCAAATTTTCTTGTCCCTCTCCGCCCCAGCTGCGCTAGTGATGCTTTATTTGTCTCCGATGAAAGGTAATAAAGAGTGTGCTGATAATCTGATTAAGCATTTTATGGATTTACTTCGCCATTCAGTTTCCAAACAGTTGCACAAGTGTTGTGCGATTATAGCATTAGAATTTTGTAATTTGCTTAGGAGAGATAATCCGGAGGATAGTTTATATGTTTTATGCCGAAGTACTCTGGGTTCATTATTGGAGGCTGATGCAATTGCTTGCGGGATGAGATGTATAGAAAGTGTTAGGGAACCCATCAAAACACTTGAACTCATTCCGTTTGTTGACGAGTTAGCCAATAAATTGTCCATCGATTTGTCCTCAAGTATACGGTCTCCCACAAGTGCAGGGCCTTCTGCGACTGATATTCGTGATTTTACAGCATTTTCGCTTCCTTTGCACAAAGCAATTGAAGGACAACTGAGTTTTCATTGCTCCAAGCGTGTGCCTCTGTATAGGGGAGGTTATAGAGATCCTTCTTATGGTGAAGAGGGCGAATTTCTTTATAATATATATCTTGGTTTGTTGAAAAAGATGGATATGTGCCTTCAAGAAATGCAAAATTTTTTGGTTGACAAAGAAAAGGGGGACCATGTAATCCCATATCCCGGATGGTCTCAATATCTTGCAATTCTAGAAAAATTGAATAGCACCTCCCATCTCTTCCAGGGTCTTGAAGAAGAATTTTGGACAATCATGAAGCCAAGGAAATCTTCTATTTGTGAGCTTATTGTGAGATTTGCAAAACGAGGCGATGATTACTCATGGATTCTTTGCCATAAGGATGTAATGAATTCTGAATCTAGAAGGCATTTGTCGATGCTCATGTTTCCAGAGCCAACAGAAGATTACGAAGAGTTGCAGGAAATGCTGATTGATAGGTCCCAATTGTTGGAAGAATCGTTTGAGTACATCTCAAATGCAAGTGTTGAGGCTCTACGCCATGGACTCTTTATGGAATTCAAGAATGAGGAAGCTACAGGTCCTGGTGTCTTGCGAGAGTGGTTTTTTCTGGTCAGCAAGGCTATTTTTAACCCACAAAATGCCCTTTTTGTTGCATGTCCCAATGACCGAAGAAGATTCTTTCCCAACCCTGGTGAGCTTACTGACATATTTCTTTAATAGCATGTTTCATTTAATACGTCTTCTTCTGGATGCAAATAAGTGACCTTGAATGCCATACATTGCCAAACGTTTTTTCACTTTTAATTAGTATTTTAGTTGTTTTTGCCAAGTATGACAGGTAGACCAAGTGATGCTTAAACTGCTGTTTTCAACCATGTCAATGGCCTAAATAGGTTTATCATTTATGTGATTGAATTTTACTGAAAACTATTGAGGTTATCCATGGCCCATCAGAAGAATTTTTTTATCTATTGTGTGCAGGAGCAAGTTTTGATGTATATACTTTTTTATATAAGTATTTTGTTTAGCATCACTTGTTCACCCAAATATAGGATTCGTATAGTGTTTTTCATTAAAATTGATGCTTATGCCTCATACCACGTCAAGGCTTCCTCCTTGCCTCTTCAAGAGGAAAAGCCTCAAGGCTGCCTTTAGTCTTTTTATAATATTGGGGAAAGGCAGAAATCACGATAACTAGAAAACTGAAAATTTGTTATGAACTTCCCTTTTAGATTCAAGTCATTAATCTTAGGTAAAGTGATCGGTAATGCATTGGTTGAAAGGTTTCTTTTTTGGATAAAAGACAGTGATTTCATCCCAAAAATTCAAAGGTACTGCCAAAGAGATAAGATATCTCTTTCCGATGAAAAATTCCAAAAGATCAACTTGGTTGGAAGGTTTCATCATGTAAAAAGCAAAAAGGCAACTCTTTGATTGATTTCATGATCTGCTATTCCTTCGAATTATTACCTGTACCCCATACTTTAATTTCCTTGCTATCGATTGAATGTCTTATTCCCATTTATAATGCAGGTGTTACTTTACTACTATAATTGAAGAATAAGAAGTTTGAAAATTATTCTTTGCTAATAATAAGTCTTAATCTCAACAAGAAATAAAAGCAGTTCTTTTAGTACAGCAATATAAAGTATGTGGGAAGTTGTATTTATATTTTCATCCTAGACATTAGGGTTCATTACTGCATTGTGCTTCTACTCAGTTATGGTGCTGTTTATAAATTATGTGATGCAAACATTAGACGCAAATTATTCTTATCTTTACCTGTAATGATTACATGTTGCAGCTTCAAAGGTGGACCCTATGCATCTCAATTATTTCAAATTTTCTGGCAGAGTTATTGCACTAGCTTTGATGCATAAAGTGCAAATTGGTATCGTCTTTGATCGTGTTTTTTTCTTGCAATTGGCTGGAATGTGCATCTCCTTGGAGGATATACGAGATGCTGATCCATACTTATATAATAGCTGTAAGCAGATTCTTGATATGGACGCCAATATTGTTGATTCAGATGCTTTAGGACTTACATTTACTTACGATTTCGAGGAGCTAGGAACAAGAAATGTTCTGGACCTTTGCCCAGGAGGCAAAGACATGGTTGTCAATAGTAAGAATCGTGGGGAATATGTTAAGCTTCTAATAGAGAACCGCTTCATGAAATCTGTCTCTGAGCAGATATCACATTTTGCAAGTGGTTTTACTGATATACTTTCTGACAAAATATTACACGAATGCTTTTTCAAAAACCTAGAGCCTGAAGATCTTGATTGGATGCTATATGGGAGTGAAAGTGCAATCTCTGTTGAAGATTGGAAGGTGCACACCGAATACAATGGCTACAAAGAAAATGATCTCCAGATATCCTGGTTTTGGAAGGTATGCATTTCTAGAATTGGTTTTTACTTTTTAGTAGCTTCTTGATTAGTTTACTTCTGCCCGGTTTGCCTGCTATTGCATCCCATAACTTTACATTCCTTTCAATCTTGTGGCATTTATGCATTATCTTTCACAGCAATTCAGGTAGTGAGTGAAAACTTTATTAAGAATGATGGTATCTCAATTTCTGAATGTGCAAGTACGCAGCTTCTGTTAGTGAATGAAACCTATGAACTCCCTATATTTCATCTGCAGATTGTGTCCGGGATGACACTGGAGCAGAGGAAGAATCTTCTGTTCTTCTGGACTTCAGTCAAATACCTTCCAGTCCAGGGTTTCAAAGGCTTGGCTTCAAAGCTCTACATTTACAAGTCTTCGTCTCCATGTGATCATCTTCCTTCTTCTCATACATGCTTTTTCCGGCTGTGCTTCCCGCCGTACCCCACCAAGTCTATCATGAAAAGTCGCCTTCAAATTATCACTCAAGAGCACGTCGGATGTAGCTTTGGTACATGGTAACCCCCCTTTTGCTTGGATTTTGTCTGCACATATTTTTGTTCTGGCCTTGTACAGAATCCACAGATAAGAATGGCCATCCCCGTGTTTTGTGATCAGACTTTTATTGCAGCTTCTAAGGTTTTATAGTCCTAGTTAATTTTCAATAAAATGTCATTCCTAATTTTCAGTGTCCAGAATTGTGGTACCCAAGAGGAAGAATATTCTCTTACGCTAACTCTTATGGATTTCTTTGTATTAATTGCAACTTTAACTCTCAACTGTAAGTATTTTTCCGTTGTGTGTACAAGTTCTTTATAGAAGAGTTCAGTATAGTTCCCCATCCCATTATCTTCACATGAAGTTTAGGCAAATTTACTTATTTGGTCATTGAAGTTTAACATTATTTTGGGTTTAGTACTTCTGTCCACTTTTCTGTTACTATGTGATATTATTATTTTTAATTAAAATGTATGTTTTTCATTTTTTTTTTCTTTCCTCCTTCCCCTATCCACTCTGGATAGGGGTGTACATCCAACCCGCTAACTTGAGAATCCAACCCGACTCAATCTGAATTATAAGAGTTGGATTGGATTTAAAAGGATTTTGGGTTTGGGTTGGATTTAAAAGGATTTTAGATTTGGGTTGAGTTTGTTTTTTGGAACCTGATTTGGTTCCGGTTGAGTTTGTTTTTTGAAACCTGATTTGGTTCCGGTTGAGTTTGTTTTTTGAAACCTGATTTGGTTCCGGTTGAGTTTGTTTTTTGAAACCTGATTTGGTTCAGGTTGAGTTTGTTTTTTTGAAACTTTTGGTTCAGGTTGAGTTTGTTTTTTGAAACCTGATTTGGTTCAGGTTGAGTTTGTTCTTTTGAAACTTTTGGTTCAGGTTGAGTTTGTTTTTTGAAACTTTTGGTTCAGGTTGAGTTCGGGTTTAATATTCAAATTATTGGATCAAACCGACCTCATTCGAAAATCTTTAAAAAAAAAAAAAAAAATAGGCCCAAGCCCATGCAGCTCAAGTCTAGTGCAGCTCAAGTCTAGGAGTCGTCGTCTTGTGTCTGCCTCTAGCACTTTTTGCATTTTGCGGTTGTCTCTTTGACTCTCTCTCTCCTCTTTGACCATGAGTTCGAGACTTTGTTTCGCAATCTCATACAATGAATGATGAGACCATACTTTGTCTAGCAAGTCGTCGTCTTGTCTCTCCTGTCCCTAGCAACTTTCGTTTTCATCATTCTCACACACCCTCTCGGTTCTCTCTGTGTTGTCATTTGACTTCTTAGCTCTGTGTTTCTCATCTGACTTTTTGACTTGACACTCCATTGTTTTACGACCCGAATCCAACACCCAACACAGAATTAGAAGATTGGTGGGCATTGTTGTTGCATTCATCTTCATCTTTTCTTCTCTTTCCTCTCCATATTCTTTAAAAAGGGAAATCATTTCAGATCTGGGTTGTTCAAGATAAAGAAGAGGGGTAGAAGAAAGAAGATGAAAGGAGATAGGTTGAGAGCGTCCATGGGCGAGAAAAGGAAGGAGTTAAAGAGTTCAATCATCTATGATGTACTTTGTTTCTTTCAGCCTTCTATCTTTTTAGATATATACTATATGTTGATTTTAGCCCTAACATTTAAATAATATATTCAGTAACTAAGTTAATGGTAAGGTTTTGTTACCATCCAAACCATGCTATGTTGTTAGGGAACGAAGATTTAGAACGAAGTAAAATATGTTTTTATTGAAAGGTAAAGAACAAACCAAAGGTAGCGACTGTGAAACACAACATAATACCCATTCTATCTCCCAACCCTCATCAGTTTGCCTCACACTGAGACAACAAATAAACCATTCAACCGAATTTGCTTCATTCATTCATTCATTCCTCTGCTGGTGCTCCAGCTTCCTCTTTCCCTTCTGCAGCCTCACCCTCCTCTTTCTCCACCTGCACCTCTTCCTCTGCTGCTACCTCCTCCTTCTTTTCCGCCTCTTTCTCCTCTACCTCAGCCACCGCTGCCGGGTCCACTGCCTCTGCTTCACTGGCAGCTTCCTCTTCTACAGACCCTTCAGCTACATCTACTGTCTCTTCTACACCCTTTTCCTCAGGTTCTGGCACTGCAGCTACATCAGGCTCCGGCGATTCTACGGGGGTTGATTCAACCTACAACACCCAGATAGCACAATTCATTATAAGTTGTAATCCAAGTGGGAAGAAAATATATTTTCTTCTTTTGCTTGCCTCCACAGCTTCTCCCTTTGGTTCTTGTGCAGGCTCTTCAGCTACAGCTACTGCCTCTTCTACAGCCTTTTCCTCTGGTACGACCACTGCCGGCTCCTCTGCCGCTGGCAGTACTACAGGGGCTGAATCAACCTACAACACCCACATCGCATAATTGATCAATTCAAAACTAAAAGTAGCTTATAAGCTGCGATGATCCAAGAAAAAACATGTCAAACAGTATTCACTGGCATTCGTTTGTTTTGTTCTTTTGCTTGAAGAACACGAACCAATACAGAAAATCCCACATTGCAAGATCAGTTAGAAACATTTATATAATATGAAATTAAAAGGGTTTCAAAAGGGTTTGATCTGCATCAAATATTACAAAAACTGAACCCAAAGCTAGAATTACCTCAACGGTGGCCATTTGAGAAAGGTGAAAGGAAGCAAAGAAAGTGAAGAATGTGAATTAAAAAGGAAAACGCCCAGATGAGCTTAGAGTGAGTTGATTGAAGCATTAAACAGAGAGAGAGGGTTTATATAGGTGTATGACAAACGCTGGATTGCAATAAAATATAATAAGGTTGCTGGAAACAGAGCCATGTGGACTCCACGTAATTCTTTACTCATTTTGCCACCTCATTTACCCCCACATTCTTTGTCCACCTCTACATACTTTCCTTTTAAAACACAAAATCATAGACACTTAACAAATTTATGTTTTTGCGACGCCATAAACGTGAAAAAGATGTACACATCGGGAATTATTGAGAGAAGAGTCTCATGTCGACTAATTAAGGGAATGATCACGAGTTTATGAGTAAAGTGATTAAAGCTTATAATAAGGACAATATCATATCATTGTAAAGTCTTAAACCTAATAAATAAAACTTTTACGTCCTGCCCCTCGCGTAGGGCTGTGGCTGAAGTGGAGACCGGGCCAACAAATGCGATCTCGACCGTTGAATGAACACAGAGATGGGCCCCATGAAACAGAAGTTGTGCTGGCGTGGCAGGGCTTGGGAATGTAACCGCCCTTCCGATTTGGAAAGGGTCCACCTGGATTTGGTTTCCAGGTCGGACGCTCGTGACCCCGGCCCCACCTTTGCTACCCGCCATTTAATTTGCCACGCCATACCTCACTCATTTCAATATTCTCCAACATACAAATCTTTCAACCTTACTCCCCAAATTACCCACTCCAATTTTAAATTTATATAAAATTATAATATGAAATATTAAAATTATCTGAAATTAAGACCCACTTAGTGCCTATTTCAAGGGTTCAAATTCTTAGAACCATAGAAACTCACAAATTTTCAAGTTTCTAAGTTTTTTAAATGTCACACCAAATATTAAATCCATTGCATAGCATCATTACTCGTCGCATTTTGAAAATATTTGAATTTAATCGATATTTTCTTGTTTATTAAATAAATAATTATGAATTGTAATTGGGATTAATTGAAGAAGTAAAAAAGTGAAAATTGGGGACGGTAAAAAAGTAGAATAAAAAAAAAAAAAAGAGGGAATTAGAGATGTGGATCTCAATACATTTTGGTGTTTGGAATTAAGCCAAGTGGTCAATGGAAATGCGTGCCATCATCATGCATTGGCCTTGCCTTCTCTCTACTATTATTATTTTAATTAATTATTATAATATCCAAAAGTCTGATTGAAAGCTGGACGGCGGTGATCGCCTTTCCCACGGGACCCACCCTTGTACTACAATATTCTTCGCCACGTGTATATTCCTCCCTGAAACGCATACTTCTCTGGCGTTTTGCTTCTTTTTTTAAATTTCCATTTATTAATAAATGTCTAAATTATAGAAATTATCGATAAATTTTATCTGTATTAAAACAATACTTTAACAAATGTTTCAAACTTACTATTAAAATTGAATTTTATTTTTAATGACAAAATAAGATTCGATTGGGCATGGGTGGGATGTGTGGATGGTGATGGTGGGAGACAATGCGTTACAATGTGAGTGGATGTAGGGGATTAGGGTAGCACGTAGGCATTGATGACGTGGACCACTGTCCCAAAGATTACATTGTGATTGTGGGACCCCTTGGTCAAAGTCAACAGTTATAAACCTCAATTATTTTGATCAAGGAGAGGCCGAGTCATGTGGTGTGTTACCATTTTTTTTTTATTTCATATTTTTGTTCCCCCCATTTATGAATTATGATTCAGAAATTATTCCTCTTGTTTGTGGATTACCATCTCCCCCACATTTATGCCCATGTGGGTTAATATATTTGAAAGTAAATTAATCCAAATATTTTTTAATTTTACCTGTTATATTTAAAAGTTTCGTTAATCTTTTTGAACTTTCGTAAAAATCTAAAAAATAAAATTTTAGAATATTTTAGAATTTTTTTAAATTTTATCGTTAATAATAGCTGAGCCAACAATATAATTCGTATATTTTAAGTTTCCAAAGTTTTTTTTTTATATATATTTTAAAGAAAAAATTATGACGTGGATAGAAGAAATTAAATCACTAAAAGTAATAAAGTATGGGCATCTAAATTTTTAATGTGATAAAAAGTAATACGCGGCATGTAACCACGTCAGATCAGGTAGGCAAAAGGAAAGTCCAGCTTGGAAAAAAAAAACAGATAATTATTTTGGTGCTCCCACGTGGCACTGAGGTTATTTATTTATTTATTTTACACAATTTGTAATGAGAAAAAGACATCGAAAATTCATATAAAAATCTTACTTTTAAATAAATATTAAGCTATTCTTAATTACTTCAAAAAAGAAAAAAAAAACATTTTTCCTTAAATTTTAATTAGCTAAAGAATATTTTTGGAAATGTTGAATCTAAGCTTTTAGATGTTCTTTGTTGTCTACGTGGATTCGGAATTTTGCAGATATCGACGGAGGGCAGTCGGGTGTGGCGGCCGAAGTCCCCGACGGTGTGATGTTTGGGGCTTCGGAAGCCACCGTGTTCACTGTTCAAAGATTCTTGCTTGCAGAGCCAAACCAAACACCCAAGTTCCTTCCTTACAGAACCCTTACGGTGGAAGGAAGGGAAAGGCATCTCCCATGGCTATGGCTATGGCTATGGCTATGGCTATGGCTATGGCCGCCCTATTTCTCTCACTTCCTCATCACCCATCACCTCCATTTCACCCTTCCAAATTCCAATGGCTTTGGCGTTTTCTTCTGCACCAAGTTTCGTCCATTTCCCCATCTCAATCTCAAACTCCAACATCCTCAACGTCCCCTCTCTTCCCACCACCAATAACTCCCGCCCATCGCCGGCACCGTCGGCCAAGCGTCGAGCCTCTCTGAGCGTAAAATGTCACGGCGGTGACGCCGAGCCGGACAAAAAAGACCCTTTTGAAACAATCGACAAACTTTACAAGGACATAAAGAACGAACACATCGCTCCCTTCCAACCCAAATCTGTAATTTTACCATCTCATCTCTCCTCCCTTACAAACCATCAAAACAGAGGGTTTGAATTTCTTGTTTCATTTTGCAGAGGAAGCCGAACTTCATCTCTAATTTCATCAATGCCTTACAGAAAAGAATAATATTCTTAGTGCAGCCAACAAATGATGGACCGATGGTGGGTGTTAAATGGAGAGTAGGTACATTCTCCAAACTAAAATCTCTTAGTTTATTTCAGTTTAGAGCCGAAATTTGAGAGGTTTAAGGTTGTTGGTAATGGCAGGGTGGCATAAACCCCTGATGGTGTGGGATAATGGTGTCGGCATCCATTTCCACCAAAGCTATGTTGGAAAGTTGCTTATTAGGTACTTGAATTCAATCTATTTGTTTCCATTTTCAACGTCTCTTCGAGCTTTCTGCCATAGACGCCAACTAAATCCTTCTCTGTTTCGTTTTTCTTTGAAACTGAATGAATTGGATTCAGCAACTTGGAGAATCTACTAGACCCTGTTCTTCGCCTAGCGCCCAAAACACTGGTGAGTGAACCTACACACCTTCTTTCTCATTCCATTAGGTACTCTTTCTATATGTTATATAAAACCCATCTCTTTCTAAGACTTACAAATTTGTGGGGAACAGAGGAATTGGAGTTGGGTGCAGGGAAAACAGAGGAGAGCTGCAGCCCTGTGTGTGGGTTTCTTCCTCCTCATTCTCTCGCTCTTCTTCTTCAAGTTTTGTGTTCGGTAGGGCCGGCGTTCTATAATTTGCAGAGCCGAACAAAGAAAGAAGGGACAGTCAACTTCTTATGCATTTCAAATACACACATAAATTTCTACTCAATTGTTTCAAAATTGCCCTTTCTACGATGTTTCAAGTATAATGCAAGTTCACTTTGTCATTTACATTAATTTTACCAAAATGCCATGGTCCCTCATGTGCTGTATTAACGATTTACTTGATTGGTGAGCGTACTATGCCAATTCGTCAACATTTTGTTAGCGATACTTATGATAAACACTCGATCGGTTGAATAGAAGTATATAGTATGAAGTTCATGAATTTAATAAATATATAAATAGGAGGATAGTGTCCAGGAGTTGGTTGAGTTAAAGTGAATCAATCCAAACTTATTACCTAATTTCATCCTTAAATTTGCCAAATTTGTATGCTAATCAATTAGTTTTAGTCTAAAAAGTCCACCTAAATTTCTCTCACGGACATTCTTACAGACATAATATGTAACAACGTACGCACGCGTTTTAAAACATAATATGTAACAACCCAAAACGGACAATATCGGTCAATTATGGACTTTGGATTGTTACGAATGATATCAAAGTTAGACATCGTGTGCCAACAAGGACATTAGGCTCGAAGGGAGGGTAGATTGTGAGATCCCACCTAAGTTGGAGAGGAGAACAAACATTCCGAGTGTGAAAACACCTCCCTCGTTTTAAAATCGTGAACCTGATGACGATACATAACGTACTGAAATAAACAATATAATATTATGTTGGGCAACAAAGATTCTTGCTTGCAACTAAATGAAAAGAACGAAAAAGGAGGTTCTTTCCTTGTGGGGGCACATTGAGAAGCCAAGTTTGCAACACTAGACGTTGCCCACCGCCCGCTGCCAAGCATCAACTCTATCTGTGCGTAAAATGCAATGGCAGCAACAAAAGCTGGGTGCCGGGAAAAGATGACAACGACAACGACAAGACTCTCAAAAGAGTCCACAAACTTTACGAGGTGATCAAGAACAAAAACATGAACCAGGTGTATGAGGTAATAGCAGATGAACTTCCCGATGCTTACAATTCCATCCCTGCAATACGAGTCTTCCGAGCCATATTGGTAATTTCACAAATCCCATCTACCTCTTTTTCTTTTTCGTCTTCTGTTGATAATGGTTTATTATGTATGTGTTGCAGTCAATGTTAGAATTCTTCTCTCATATCTCCAAGACCTTCGTAAACAGCCTGAAATTCACAGCGAAGCCAACAACAAAAAATGGATCGATGGCGGGTGTTAAATGGAAATTAGGGTGGCAGAGAACCCTGATGACGCTGGGAAAGGGAATCGATATCCAGTCTCACCATATCTATGTAGGAAAATTGCTTATTGGGTATTGGAAACTGTTTCTTTAGTCTCTTGCCAATTCCTTACCTTCTTCAAGTTCTCAACTTGCAAACTCAAACTTTCTTCGTTTTCTGTTTTCTTCGAATGAATTGGATTCAGTAACATGGAGAGGATAATGGATGCTTCGGTTCAGCAGAAGCCCATAGAAGAGGTGAGTGAAGTGTTCAGTACAGGAGATCTTACTTCTTCTTGGCTTAGATAATTTGTTAATACATATATATATATATGCAATGATCTTACTCCTAGCAACTGCAAATGCTTAGGAGCAGAAGGATTTGAATTTGGAGCCGTCAAAGAAGAGGCGAGCAGCACCATTGTATCTGGGCTTCTTCTTCTTTGTTCTCTCGCTCTTCTTCTTCCAGTTTTCTGTTCGTTAATGGCCGGCGTTTGAGGTGGCTACTAAAAAAGTGTTTCAGAATTGCCTTTTGAGCTGACTATAATCTTTCAATTATGATACATTTGAATCGGGGCTTCATTGCGTTCAATAATCATTTTAGATTTTTTATAATTTTTCATAACATAAAACTCAACGTGCATAGTAATTAAATATTTTTAAATAAGCAAACGAACACTAGAGGTAGTAACATTTGACATTAGGAGGTTTTAGCAGAAAAAGGCACTTGAAAACTGGCAAAAGTAAGATATTTCATTCAACGCACTTGATATCTAGATCATATGAGTCCAGGTTGTCTACCGCATGCTACAGCTTACACAGATTTTATTACAACAGAAAAACATCTACTCGGTTTTAAGATGGTAATGATAGTTACCAACTCTACGGCTCCATCAATCTTCCAAGGGAGGTGAAGGAACAATCTTTCCGGTGCATGTCCCAAATCCAACAGTGTAACCATTTCCCTGCAATAAAATCAAATGCCGGATTAGACGTCGAAGGCATCATGTATGACACAAGAAACAATTGGTATCAGAACGAAACACGCATCCCAACAATGGAATCAGTTTTTGGGAACCAACCATCTAAATGAAACTTTCATTTTACAATCCTTTCTTAAGTCTTATAATAATCCTCATAATTTCTAGGTGAAGGTAGTTCCTCTTCTTAAGCAGGACATTTTTATCGTACAATGCCTACTTACTAATTCCGATGTGCTAAGAACTCAGGAAAGAAGATAAAATTGATAAAAACATAAACCTTGCATTGACCAGTGAAGATGACTTCATCTCCATCTTCCAGAAATTTACGAGATATCCCATTTAATAACTCCAATGGCTTTTGCCCATTCCATGTTAACTCCAACAAGCAGCCTAGAGAATCTTGTTCCTGTGTTCAAACCAAAGTGGGGAACACAACTCGAAAATTATAAGACTATTCCAAACAAACATTATTTAAAACAAGAAAACACACACACTCGTGGAATTGCAAAAAATGCAACATGGATCATGAGTAGAAGTCGTACAGGTCCACTTATGGTGCCACTGCCCATGAGATCACCTGGCTGCAAGTTGCAGCCATTACTAGTGTGGTGTGCAAGCTGTTGAGCCAGCGTCCAATACCTACACATTCCACGAGTAAGTAAAGGAAAGATAGAGAAGTACCACAGACATTGCTGAAAGTAAAATCAAGAATCGAGAAAGCAGATACAAGACACCACGCTCCAACCAAAAATCCATGATAATTACGATGAAAAGAGTCAATGAACTGCTGCATATGAAACATGTTAGAGCTTGTTATGGCTAAAAAATCCAGAGCAATCTTGTAGGCTTCTTTAATCATCTGGCCCAGACTAACTAAATTTCATCTCTGCCACCTGGACTAAGTGCATGAAAGGACACAGCTTGGTACAAGTATAACTAGATTCACTTATCCATGGTTTTTTAGAGGGGGTAAGGAATGATCATCACTCGGTATTTATATATGACATTGAAAAAGTGGTAATGCCTCCTTACAAATGCTTAAAATTGCTTCTTGTCACCACATGTGTATCTTGTTGACCAGCAGGTCGAATTTGAACCTTGAAGTAGGAAGAAAAATTCATCAAGATCTCAAACACAAAAACAAACTCTATAGCTCAGAGCACGAGACATATAAAATGCAAAGAGGGAGAAAAAAAGTGCTGGTTTTTATTAGAAGACATTATAGTCAATAATGTAATAAGAGAAAATCATGGGATACAGTGCTATACAATGATTAATAAAGATGAATTAATTACCTCCAGTGGGATGTCATAGTTCTTGGATGTCTTTTCAGCTAGATATGGCAATGGAGGTGGATCCTACAACAAAAAGTACAAATCATACGACCTGTTGGAGCTTTTACACAGAACATGCAAACAGGGCAACAATGGCGTTACAACTTTCAGTTAGGAAAACACACACACACACACAGATGATATGGAGTTTCAATACCTGCTTGGGAGCATCACATATGAAAGGCTCTAGGGCTTCTAGTGTAACAATCCAAGGGGATATAGTAGTACCTAAAACAGACATCATATAGAAAAAGAGGGTAAGGTGCCTGAAATCATCAATAGAGTCGAGACACAGTGAGAGTTAAGAATTCTAACCAAAATAATGCAAATACCATCTCTAACCAGTAAAGACAAAGGTATAAGTTCTAGCTTCAGCTTCTATAACTAAAAACGATAAGGAAAAACAAATTTTTATACTTACCAAAACTCTTCCCAAGAAAGGGCCCTAGAGGAACATATTCCCATGCCTGAATGTCTCTAGCTGTGAAAAGACGAAGTATCAGATACAGACCGAGCAAGCAAGCAGAACCTTATAAATTAGCAAAGCTAAGTATTCTTACCACTCCAATCATTCATCAGAACCAGGCCAAAAATATGACTTTCTGCTTCATTTATATCCACAGGCTTTCCCAATTTATTTCCTGTACCAACAACAGCAGCCTGTACGCAACATTAACATTTAACGTCAGAGGTCAAAATTGTACCTATAAGTAGAACATAACATGATCTATAACACTACCAATATCTTGTAAAAAAATCTGCATAGGCATCTGAGTTTAGAACTCTAACCATTTCCAGCTCGAAGTCCAACTTAGCAGAAGGGCCGAAATTTGGTGTAGAGGTTTCTACCGGGGTGCTCTGGCCTCTGAAAAAGGGCATGAGAAAAGTCTAAAGATAACAACCTAAGAATGAACCCATACTAGAAAGAAGGGAGTATTGTATCAAAAAAACAATAACCAAGTGGGAACATGTGACTGAACCAGTGGACAAACTGATGCAGAAGTATGATTGAACCTATAAAGTCTGTTATAAGGAATCAGAGCAAGAACAAACCCTGACAACAATACAAACAAGCCTATTATAATCGAACCTAAAGTTCTTTTATCTAATAAGGAGTATGATCGACATCATTAGAGGATGAGGCATTAATTAACTAAATGAATGACATCCAAGGCCATTATATTCATCCCCACCCCAGTCAAGTTTCAAAAAGATTGGCATATAGATAAGCATCTCTATCTCATTTTAAACTCTCGTACAAAAGAAGAAGAAAAAACTACATACTCAACAAACAAAATAAGGGGAAACTCAAAAAAGTTTGCGTACCGAGGTCGAACAATGTCTGTTCCTGAGATGACAATGGATGATGCACGTCCATGATATGCAATTGGAATGTGGAACCTACATATATGAACATAGGATTTTCAACTTTCAGAACAAAAGGAAAGGGGACGTTGAAGAGTTATTGCTTCACATTCAATATCCACAAACCAGTTGGGAAGCATTGGGTTTTGAGAACCGCGAAATATAGCTCCGCAATTTTTTGCATGATGCATAGAAGAAAAGAAGTCCGTGTAGTCCTGAATTGCCACAGGAAGAACCATCTCTGCACTACTCTGGAAATGTAAACATCTTATTGACATTAGATAGGCAGATATCTGATGGGAAATTTGAGCATTCTGAATTTTGCACATTATTACCAGTGGAATAAGTGACCTTGACCTTAAAGCTTCATTGTCACGCAAGGCTGGTTCAGTAGCTGCACCAAGAGAAAACGAGTTCTTTCATTGGTATGATAAGCATGTAAACACACGCGAAACATTATCTTCAAATGAAGAAATAATAAGCATACAAATAGTAAAACCTGAAATCTTGATACATCATCCTACCAATATAATTCTAATTTATTCTCGGGAACTTTTTTTCTCGTATTGAATCAAGATCTTGATTATAAGAGTTATGGTAAACGTACACGATAATAGTTTTTGAAGCGTCGCACGAGCTTCCTTCCATGCAGGTCGTCCCAGAGACAGAAACTTGTTTAGATTAGGCTACATTGAAGTTGGAAAAGAAAAAAGAAAAGATCAGGCTACACCCAAATTGGAAAAAAAACTACGGAATACATCTTCATTCATTCATATAAGGTCTTTTGGGAAGCCTAAAGCAAAGGCAAAGTGAATAAAATAATACCATATTGGAGATCAGTGGTTCTTAACACTGCCAATTTTGCCAGGAAAAAAAAAAAGAAAAAAGAAAAGCAAAGATAAACTTATGAAAAAATGACGTCGTGAAAATGCAAGTTAACCAAGTCATGGCGACAAGAGCAATTAAACGTACATTGACGCGCACCAACCACGACAGTAGAGTTAGTAATTGCTAAGTTGAGCGATCAATTTCCATCGACCGGCATTTCAAGAAAGAAAGAAACTACAGACTACAGTCTTGATCTCAATCTTGGATTCCGTTTACATGCTCGACAAAGACGAGCCGGCAGGGTGAATATCGCAATTTAAAGATCGCCATTAAACTGTTAATCTTTAACCACCATACCTGAAGGAAACAGTCAGAATTCTTGAGGAGAGGCCCGTCGAAGAGGCCAGCGGAGGCGATTACAGAGAGGTCCAACACGTACTCGCCAATAGCCACACCAGGTCGCTGAACGGAACCAGGTCCAGACTTGAATACTCCGTAGGGAAGGTTCTGAATGGGGAAGTGAGAATCCGGATGAACTTCGATGAAAGAATTGAGAGCCATGTTGTAGGTAAAAGACGATGGCGTATACAGTCGATGATTTTGGGGAAGAAGTAGAGTTCGAGAGGAACGGCAGCAGCGATGAAATGAAATGGAGTGCGGACTGCAACTCTGTCTGTGCTTTTATGGAGGGAGGATAGAGGGGGCCAATTCAATTAATTAAATTTCCTTTTTTAAGTTTATTACTTTAGCAGCATACATCGTATGATCAGTATTCACCGCATATAGATTTTATTAATAAATGTACGAAGTAGTTGCCAAATCAAGGGTAAAAATAATTTACAGTTGGGTAAATTCTCTATCCATGCTTCTAATTTTATTACATTCGGGTTTTAACCTTCCAACAGGGCTGCAATTTCAACCCTTAACCAATAATTGAGTTGAGTCATATCGAAACATTTTTTTAAATATATTTAATTATTAGAGTATAATTTTATCGGTCTAAATATCATTTATTAATTAACGAGTCAAACCCTAACACAACTATAAAATATTAGATTAAGTAAAATTTTATTTTTAATTGATTAAATTAAAAAAGCTTAAATTT